TAATAATAATAATAAGACTTAAGACCGTAGAGGACACTGTAAGAGAGAAAGAATATGTCAGCAAACATGAAATTCTATGGAACATTGTAAAGGATACCGTGAAAGAATCAGAAGAGACCAAGAAAAGAATTTACCAACAGCGCAGGCAGAACGAAAGACTTGAAAGATACACAGGCAAGCCTTTACACGGAAACTACATCAAGACGTGCGAAGACAAGATGGATAAGGAAAGCACTTGGCTCTGACTAAAGAAAGGAGACATTAAAATGGAGATGGAAAGTTTACTCACTGCTGCACAGGACCAAGCACTACCTACCAACTACTTGAGAAGTAAGTACAACAGTAGTGCATGATTCATCGCTGTGCCGGTTATGTAATGAATAGACGGAAACTGTGGACCACCTTGCATCTGGCTGCAAAGTACTGGCAGGGAGAGAGTACAAAGACAGACATGACAAAGTGACGAGAACAATACATTGGCACCTATGTAGGAAACACCAAATATAGTGCACTGCAGATAATTGGTGGGATCACGAACCAGAGAAAGTAGTGGAAAACGAAAAGGTCAAGATGCTATGGGATTTTAATGTTTACACGGATAAGTGAGATTGAAGCAAGAAGACCGAACATCATAGTCGTAGATAAGAGCAAGAAGAAGGCGAAACCGATTAACGTCTCAGTGCCTATGTACCATAGAATTAATCAAAAGGAAATGGAAAAGATTGACAAGTACCAAGACCTAAGAATAGAAATAGAAAGATCGTGGAGGATGAAGACCATGGTAGTTGCGATAGTCATTGGATCGCTCGGAACAATATCAAAACAATTTAAGGATCATGTTCAGAGACTAGAACTTGATAGTATAAGCTTGTTAGACCTACAGAAATCTGTACTTTTAGGCACGGCACACATCTTAAGAAGAGTACTTCAGCTCTCAGGAGCCGGGTGGAAACTCGAGCTGAAGGTTAATGTATACCAGCAAAAGTGTTGTAATATTCTTATTTTGCTGTGCAATAAAATAATAATAATAATAATAATAATAATAATAATAATAATAATAATAATAATTACACTAGATAGACTCAACTATAGGTTCGACAGATAAACAGGCAAGTATGCCCAGACGGGCATTTGACCTTAATGGCGTATAGGCGTTTGTCGGCTTTTTTAACTAACTAGAAATAAAGGCCCTAAGTAACTTATAGGAGGACACCTGAAGTACTGGGGAAGCTGTGATGATAATAGGGCCAGGTGGGCCTGGATGGTACTTAAGAAAATTAATTACAATTTCCTTGCATTTCGTGAGGTGCAAGCGCATACCCCTATGGGTGGCATAACTATAGATATCATCAGCTATGAGGGGGAGATAGCTTGGGCTATCACACACATCTTTTGCTCTCCATGGCCAATTGAACATCGTATTAACTAGAATCGGTAAGCCACCAGTGGTCAGTTAAAGTGAAGTAGGAGTAGATGATCAGGTTCAGAGATACATTGAACACAACGAATCGCCACATATTAAAGCAAATCGAGGAGCTCATAACACTATACAAGTCATTACGGGTGCCGCTGACCGCTGACCGCTTAACACATAAACAAGAAGGGCCGATGATGGCATGAATGCATGATTTTGAGTTTCGTTTGAAAAGGGACTTTCATAGTTACAACACAAGAAATAAGAATAATGTTCGTGCTTCTCGAGCACAAAGTAGATGGGGCATTGGGCAACTAGTAACTTTGCCGCCTCATGCAGTAAATTTAAAACTTTCTAAGAATCGAATTTCTAAAATTATTTTAACTAATTAATTCATATGACGTTTTTTAGTGGGGGAGGGCTTGTATATAATTTTTAATATCAATTGTATTTTAGTAAATTAGTAAATTCCAAGTGTCTAAATAGTTTTTCTTTATTTTATATATATAATATATTTATATAAGTAGTACATTTCATTTTAGTTTATTTAAGGACCCTTC